TTTTTTTTTTTTTTTCCTTCCTCCCACTTATTCCTCTCTCCATCCCCTTTTTGCCTGCCCTTTTGTGTATTGTGTATTCCTCTTCCTTCGCTCGCGAGCTGCTGTCATCCACGGGAGAGCTCTCCCTAAAGTGTTTTCTCCTGGTGGTGAACGTGCCAGGAGCTCTGCTTCTGGGAGGGTCTCACATTTCCATGCCAACGGGTCCGGATCCGGCCATGGGGATCAGAGCAAGGTGTGAGGTCTCCTGCATAGGGTAGTCCAAAGCCATCACCTCTGGAAGGATCAGGCTACATCCAGAAAGTGGCAGGCAAAATAACGTGTGATTCATTTATTCTTCAAAGGAAGGTAGGAACTCAAGTTCGTAGAAGAAACGTATGTTGCTGAGGGCCACATATAGTTAATTGAAACCCATGTGAAGAGCTGAAACAATAAGTAAATGCTTAGGTCCACCTGAAACAACATCCTGTATTTTCCAGCCCTGTTAAGAATACAATTCCTGACAATGTGATCATGAGGCTGAATGCATTATGGTCCGTGTTTTTATAGTTAAGAAATGCATGTTCGTATCTTTTGCTGGAGGAGAGGTTGGGTTATTTGTATCTTCTAAAAACAAAACAAACAAACAACAAAAAAAAAACCTAAAAAGCCCAAACTAGAAAATTATTAAAACTTTTCATCTTTAGAACTTCTGCAGAAAGCAAGTATTTTTTGATGCACTCTATCAAACAAGAAAAAAAATGAATTGTTGCTGGCAGAAAACTAGTTCACAGGCTTAAATTTACCAGCAGGACTTGAAGAGTTGTAGCTTTTTTCCCCACTGGCACTGCTCAGCAGTCAAGGCATGTCCTGGGCAAGGTATCAACGTCGGAGTTTTCTTCCCACTGGGCATTGCATCCTTCAAGGAATTGGCCAGGGTTAATGCAGAGATGGAGCAGGCTCTCATTGGCATTTCTTCCCTGTTCTCATTTCTAAATTTAAAACAGCTAGGTAAATCACCTGATTTCTGAGCAACTGATTTAATTTAGTACAAAACAGTAACTAAATGCCTTGCTGGCAGCTCCCAGGAAGAGAAGGGATCTCATGTGGTCCATACATCGACCCCACGGAGGTCCTGAAAAGATGGAATAACCATGGAGTGGGAGAATGGCTGGATTTGGTGAGTTCTGTCCACAGTATGTCATGCTGTTAGTACATGCACATGGCAAAGTGTGAGGAAATTAGTATTTTTTTATACTGCTGAAAACACCTGGTGAAATCAGCAGTGACTGTGGAGCTGGCAACCTGGAACTGAGCAGGAAATTCCCTCTTGCACATTGCCCATCAGGTAGGTGATGAAAGACAGTGTGGAGGCATACATGAAATATAAAGATATGTAGGTTTAAACAAAGATAAGGAAATGAGTCATACAAACAACTGGAAGAAATAAAAGAGTTTGGCTTCTGCCTTTTTAAAGACCCTCAGCACCAGCCAACGAAGCCTAGTCTAACTTCGGGCAGTCTAACCCAAAGAAGTACCTTGCGTTACACATCGTTCAGTTTGCAAGAGCAAAACCTGATGCTTGAAAGGGGTCAGAGCCCAGGAACGATGGTTCAAGTACATGATTAGTGACTGTTCTTACTGATTAACCAGTTGCCTTGATTTTTCCAACTGGAAAGACATTTGTGCATGCTCGTGGTCACAGCTCCCTTCTGAACTCATGTTGCTGTGCTCTGCGTTGGGCATGTTGAGCCAAGTTGGGGTCCAGGCTGTCCTGCTGCCGCTCCAAAGCTCTTGCCTTTAGGGGCCTGCCTGGAGCATGTTTGTGTCCCATGCATGGTTTAATCTCCAGCACTGCAAATAATAAGGCAGCATTGCAATAACAGCCGTGGCACCCCCTTCGTGTGTATGTGTCAGTCACTGGGAGGTCCCTTTGCTCCCATAGGGACATAGCCAAGGTTGGCTGACTTTGAAGGATCTGGACTCAAAGCGGTAGTTACTGATGTTTGGAATGGGCTTTTCCTCAGGTTGTTGGAAGCACAGCTTCCACCAGCGAAGCGAGCACGAGGAGGAGATCGAGACTCTGAAGAGCCAAGTTGAGGCAATGAAGGAAGAGATGGAGAGACAGCAGCAGGCCTTCAAGCAGACCCTGCAGCTCTCTCCAGAGGTCCAGGTGGAATTTGGGCTTCAGCAGG